CTGGGAGCAGTAATGGATTTAGCTCTTTGTATGTTTTATGCTTGTGACGCGCCCTCATTGTATTAACCCACGCTCCTCCGCAGCGTCCGCTAGCGCGCTATAATTAAATCCACATCTGGGCGCGCGGCGGTCCCCAGAGCAACACAGTGCGGAAGCATTAGCGTGTATTTGTGTCCTGGGGCCGAGAACGCATTTTGCGCAAAGCATGCTGGGTAGCAGAGTGAACTGTCCTGGGGACGAGAGTTTGTGGCGCGGGCGGAGAATGCCAAAACTCCCTCCGTGGCTAAGTTCCTTCCGCGACTAACTCCCTTCTGGGCAAATGTAGAGGGATAACGGTACACCCTCATAGCGTCACCAAATGAGGTACTTTGTAAAGGTCCGTTTCATTTGGTATATATTACCATTGTGACAGCATTTTATACCCCAAAATAGGAATCTTGCGTCTTGTTTTAGGTCCCGATAGTAGAAAGAATGCAGTGTACATGTATTCAGATGGCCGCCGTGTAACGTTACGTACTAGCGAGCGCGCACGACAATACCGCCAGAGTAGAGTAGGTTATCCTAACCCTTTAGATAGCGCAAAGAAAACAAAAACGACAGATTTGCATTAAAGAAAGTTTATTTTCCATAGCCTGGGCTAAGCCACGATCTATAACCTATGGCTTCTCCACGGGCGCTGGGGACGAGCGTGGTATTAACCGTTGCCTAATTATAATGTCTGCACAGTAGGTCTGGCGTTGACGCTTGGGATTTTGTTGAAATATATAAAACTTCACGGAGAATTGTCGCCTATGGCTTCTTGTTTATATTTCATATTGTAAAATCATACCACGATCGGTCAGCTTTTCTGTCGATTTCAGACCCAAAATATCGTCCAAAAATTCACAGGTTGGTAATTTCACGTATTTGTTTATAACTACTGTCCAGTCCAGGCAGAGGTTGGTGGACAAGATTATTTAAAAGCCTATTATCTAAGACACTTCAGCATATGGTTATTCGGACTAACATTTCAAAATTTAAAGTTTCAAAACCAGCCGAATGAATTATACATATCATAGACAGTTTGCAGTAGAATACTTGTGTAGGCGTGTGGACTGTTTGCGTCATAGCTGACAGAACGTTGGCGTAAGAAATGAATACAGATGACGACATTCCGTGTAAGTAGAACGCGTTTCCGATAACGGTTATCCGGCCATCGCGTTATCGTAGACGCGGGTTAAGTAAGACAATCTTCGCTTATTTCCATTTTGGTTGGCATCCAACTATTAGGGCATCAGTGGTCCCAGGGGAAGTATGAAACTTATGCCAGGAAAATATGGTTATTATCATAATTAACTGCTTAAAAGCGGTAGTTTAAAGAGATATGTGGGTGAACAATTGCAATCCACACTTGGAACGCAAACATGGACATCCAGTATATTCTCGATGCCTATACTAGTAGTTGTGTCAGCAACTTTCCCATGATATAACACAAATAAAATTCATCAGAACCAGGGCTGTCTCCATGAGCCGTCCGTTTGCATGTGATGAATGGACAAATACTTCACATTCAATTTACTCCACAAAAATTGCGCCTGAAAATATGAAGAGTTTGAGAATTCAGATGTTAGATTGAAAATTTCATGGCCTTGTCAGCAGTCAATCAGAAAAAAAAGACGTTTTACCAGTGTCGATTGGGAAGCCGGAAACACAACATTTCTTTTTCCCAGGCCTAACAGGCATAGAACTCTCCTGGCGTGTTATTTCACCTCCTTTACACTCGCCTATAGTGGAAACCTGACCCGTGCCTGACCTGCGTTAGCAGGAAGGAGACCACATTAAAGTCAACCAGACATTGACGGAACGCGATTCCCTTTCACACACTCATTCCGTCAGGCAGCGTTGAGCATGACCGACATTAGGATTGGAACAGTCTTTATAAGCCTTAATTTAGCGCTGAAATGGGTGCTGGCGGGATGTTGCAATAGGTTCACGCTCCACATCACGACAAAGCGGCGATGGTGGTGTTAGTTAGCTCGCATTGCCGTCGGCTGCATGCTGGTTTCAATTCATTTTTCGGCAATGTATCATATTCCGGGAATGTATCGTTTTCCTGCAATCTATCATTTTTCAGAATGTATCATTTTCCAGGAATGGATCGTTTTCCAGGAATGTATCATTTTCCGGGAATGTATCATTTTCCGGGAATGTAACATTTTCCGGGACTGTATCATTTTCTAGGAATGTATCGTTTTCCGGGAATGTATCATTTTCCAGGAATGTATTATTTTCCGGGAATGTAACATTTTCCGGGACTGTATCATTTTCTAGGAATGTATCGTTTTCCGGGAATGTATCATTTTCCGGGAATGTATCATTTTCCAGGAATGTAACATTTTCCAGGAATGTATCATTCTCCGGGAATGTATCATTTTCCGGGAATGTATCATTTTCCTGGAATGTATCATATTCCAGGAATGTATCGTTTTCCAGGAATGTATCATTTTCCAGGAATGTAGAATTCTACGGGAATGCATCATTTTCCGGGATTATATCATTTTCCGGGAATGTAACATTTTCCGGGAATGTATCATTTTCCGGTAACGTATCATTTTCCAGGAATGTATCATTTTCCGGGAATGTATCATGTTCCGGGAATGTTATGTTCGTTGGGAATGTCAACAACTGTGTTCCCGGGAATGCATGATGTTGTTTGGGAATGTCAGCAAATATGTTGCAATGACAAATGTACAAAAACGTACAAAAACGTTTATTCCTTTAGATCTATAGATTTAAGATTTTGAAGCTGTGTGAAACTGTGTCGATCCAGTCAGTGTTTGGTCAGGTTGAAATATGGGATCCATGGTACCAGAATTAGACTATGGCACTG